ATTCTCCATCCCATTCCATATGCATCCCAACATCTAGTTTGCTTTTTTGACCACTGCTGCACATTAAGCAGAGGTCTTTATTGAGATGTCTACAGTGACGCCCCAAGTCCCTCTGCTGAGTAGAAGGAATTAATTAAGATGTGTGAATAGTTATTTTACATTTATTGATGTTGAACCACTTTTGTCACCCTGTACATTCACATGTTGATGTGGTACCTCTGATGCTCCTCAGAGATCTCTCTGCCCTTGACTAACATAAATTACTTTACCTTCAAATTGTGCCATCTCATTGCTGAATCCCATGTTCTGGCTCATTAATAAATCTGTACCACGTCCAATGTTGTTTAATATAATCTTGAGGCACCCCACTGTTAGTCAGTTTTCATCAGGGCAAAAGGCTATTTTTTTCCTACTTTTTTGTTACTTTGTCTCTTACCCAGTGTTACAGAGGGAATAAGAAGCCCATGACTGCTGCACACAGCTTTGTTGAGGCTATTCCCCTGAGTTCCTTTACACGGGTGATTTGTAAATGTAATCTTAAATCTATAAATATGAGGAGGAAATTCCATGTGTTAATAGGGTGGGTTCTGCTGCCTTATCAACAAATTCCAGGGTTTTTTACTTTTAATGATCACTGTGAAATTATTGAGATGTCGTGTGATTGAATTTCTGTCTTTATGTACCCTTTTCAAGATAGCCTGTGAACCTCATTATTCGTTTGCTTGCATCAATTTTATGTCAGTGTAACTTCACAGAATTTAATGGATGGTGATTTACACCAGTACCAGTGAGAGAAGACTCAGGCCCTATTTCTGCCAGTAAAGGAAAGTCTGCATCCAGTTTGGTTAAATCTGTGTATCTTCATGGTGTGGATACTCTTAAATCACAATGATCATTTAGTCTCATTTCTTGCATAACACAAGCTGTAGAATTTTGCACAGGAATTACTGTGTGAAACTCTGTGGCCTGTGGTATTCAGGAGGTCAGACTAGATAATCATGATGGTCCCTTCTAGACTTAAATTTTTTTATTTTTATTAAATCTGTTTGAGTACCTTAAATTGATTTAGCTTAATCAATATAAGGCACTCTGATTTCAGAATGTCCACACCAGGGTGTTGTAGTAATTAGACAAATCAGCTTCTAAGAGCTTGTCTACACGTACATTTTATAGCACTCTAACTTGCTGGCTCAGGGGTGTGAAAAATCACTCCCCTGAGCGCAGCAAGTCTGAGCACTTTAAAGTGCTAGTGTGGATAGGCTCCGAACACTGGGTATCCCCTTGTGGAGGTGGATTACCAGGAGCACTGGGAGAGCTCTCTCCCAGCACTCATGCACGACCACACTCGCACTTCAAAACGCTGCTGCCTTCAGAGCTGGGCGCCTGGCCAACAGCGGCCACTCTCCAGCCGCCCAGCTCTGAAGGCAGCGTAGATGTGAGGGTGGCAATACCACGATCCCTGTAAAATAACCTTGTGACCCCCTGCAACTCCCTTTTGGGTCAGGACCCCCAATCTGAGAAACTCTGGTCTTGCCTGTGAAATTGGTATAGTATAGCGTAAAAGCACACAAAAGACCAGATTTCATGGGGGGAAGACTAGATTTCATGGTCCATGATGCATTTTTCATGGCCGTGAATTTGGTAGGGCCCTAAGTATTAGCCATAGCGGGAAACTTTTTAAAATTATTTTCCAGCTATAGGCAGAGCCTGTGTCTTTTATAATCTATGAATGAAAGCTTCAGGTTTTGTATTTTTTCTTTACTCTACTCTGAGACATGCTTTACCTGCTTTCATTTTGTCTTAAAGTATCTGCATTGTTTCCTGTTGTGTTCTATGTTACTTCTTGAGAGAAGAAGTGTGAAGAAATGGGGGTGAGAGAGGAATTGTTTTCAGATCTAGATTCTGGGAGTCTTCATAGATCCCTCCACACCCATGAGTTTTTCTTTTGTGGTAAAGCAAAGTTTTAGTTATACCGATGAATTCTTTGTATTTTAAAAAGCTTCTATCATTTTTTATAAAGAATGTAGTTTTAGGAAGCAAGATGAGTTAGTACTTAGTATTTGTGTCTTTGTGGTTTACTACCTGAGCCTTGTTGATGATTTGTTCTGTTGTATATTTTTTCTGCTACAGTGATCAACAGTGTAATAGTTAGTAGTATTGACATTTAAATGCCATCTTTAGGTTTTGGAGTTAACTCAGTGAGACAAATGGAGCAGAACTGTTGTTTCAGGTTTTCTGTAGACGCAGGAAGACAACATTGAATACACGTTTTCAAGGTTGTCTTCACAATGTTGGGCTAGAAACATAGGGTATGTCTACACTACGGAATAAGGTCGAATTTATAGAAGTCGGTTTTTTAGAAATCGGTTTTATATATTCGAGTGTGTGTGTCCCCACAGAAAATGCTCTAAGTGCATTAAGTGCATTAACTCAGCGGAGTGCTTCCATAGTACCGAGGCTAGAGTTGACTTCCAGAGCATTGCACTGTGGATAGCTATCCCACAGTTCCCGCAGTCTCCGCTGCCCATTGGAATTCTGGGTTGAGATCCCAATGCCTGATGGGGCTAAAACATTGTCGCGGGTGGTTCTGGGTGCATATCGTCAGGCCCCCGTTCCCTTCCTCCCTCCGTGAAAGCAAGGGCAGACAGTCGTTTCGCGCCTTTTTTCCTGAGTTACCTGTGCAGACGCCATACCACGGCAAGCATGGAGCCCGCTCAGGTAACCGTCACCCTATGTCTCCTGGGTGCTGGCAGACGCGGTACGGCTTTGCTACACAGTAGCAGCAACCCCTTGCCTTGTGGTAGCAGACAGTACAGTACGACTGGTAGCCGTCATCGTCATGTCCGAGGTGCTCCTGGCCACGTCGGCTGGGAGCGCCTGGACAGACATGGGCGCAGGGACTAAATTTGGAGTGACTTGACCAGGTCATTCTCTTTAGTCCTGCAGTCAGTCCTATTGAACCGTCTTATGGTGAGCAGGCAGGCGATACGGATTGCTAGCAGTCGTACTGTACCATCTTCTGCCGGGCAGGCAAGAGATGAGGATGGCTAGCAGTCGTACTGTACCATCTTCTGCCAAGCAGCCATGAGATGTGGATGGCATGCAGTCCTTCTGCACCGTCTGCTGCCAGCCAAATATGTAAAAGATAGATGGAGTGGATCAAAACAAGAAATAGACCAGATTTGTTTTGTACTCATTTGCCTCCTCCCCTGTCTAGGGGACTCATTCGTCTAGGTCACACTGCAGTCACTCACAGAGAAGGTGCAGCGAGGTAAATCTAGCCATGTATCAATCAGAGGCCAGGCTAACCTCCTTGTTCCAATAAGAACAATAACTTAGGTGCACCATTTCTTATTGGAACCCTCTGTGAAGTCCTGCCTGAAATACTCCTTGATGTAAAGACACCCCCTTTGTTGATTTTAGCTCCCTGAAGGCAACCCTGTAAGCCGTGTCATCAGTCGCCCCTCCCTCCGTCAGAGCAACGGCAGACAATCGTTCCGCGCCTTTTTTCTGTGCGGACGCCATACCAAGGCAAGCATGGAGGCCGCTCAGCTCACTTTGGCAATTAGGAGCACATTAAACACCACACGCATTATCCAGCAGTATATGCAGCACCAGAACCTGGCAAAGCGATACCGGGCGAGGAGGCAACGTCAGCGCGGTCCCGTGAGTGATCAGGACATGGACACAGATTTCTCTGAAAGCATGGGCCCTGCCAATGCATGCATCATGGTGCTAATGGGGCAGGTTCATGCTGTGGAACGCCGATTCTGGGCTTGGGAAACAAGCACAGACTGGTGGGACCGCATAGTGTTGCAGGTCTGGGACGATTCCCAGTGGCTGCGAAACTTTTGCATGCTTAAGGGCACTTTCATGGAACTTTGTGACTTGCTTTCCCCTGCCCTGAGGCGCATGAATACCAAGATGAGAGCAGCCCTCACAGTTGAGAAGCGAGTGGCGATAGCCCTGTGGAAGCTTGCAACGCCAGACAGCTACCGGTCAGTTGGGAATCAATTTGGAGTGGGCAAATCTACTGTGGGGGCTGCTGTGATGCAAGTAGCCCACGCAATCAAAGATCTGCTGATATCAAGGGTAGTGACCCTGGGAAATGTGCAGGTCATAGTGGATGGCTTTGCTGCAATGGGATTCCCTAACTGTGGTGGGGCCATAGACGGAACCCATATCCCTATCTGGGCACCGGAGCACCAAGCCGCCGAGTACATAAACCGCAAGGGGTACTTTTCGATAGTGCTGCAAGCTCTGGTGGATCTCAAGGGACGTTTCACCAACATCAACGTGGGATGGCAGGGAAAGGTTCATGACGCTCACATCTTCAGGAACTCTGGTCTGTTTCAAAAGCTGCAGGAAGGGACTTTATTCCCAGACTAGAAAATAACTGTTGGGGATGTTGAAATGCCTCTATGTATCCTTGGGGACACAGCCTACCCGTTAATGCCATGGCTCATGAAGCCGTACACAGGCAGCCTGGACAGTAGTCAGGAGCTGTTCAACTACAGGCTGAGCAAGTGCAGAATGGTGGTAGAATGTGCATTTGGACGTTTAAAGGCGCGCTGGCGTAGTTTACTGACTCGCTTAGACCTCAGCGAAACCAATATTCCCACTGTTATTACTGCTTGCTGTGTGCTCCACAATATCTGTGAGAGTAAGGGGGAGACGTTTATGGCGGGGTGGGAGGTTGAGGCAAATCGCCTGGCTGCTGGTTACGCGCAGCCAGACACCAGGGCGGTTAGAAGAGCACAGGAGGGCGCGGTACACATCAGAGAAGCTTTGAAAACCAGTTTCATGACTGGCCAGGCTACGGTGTGAAAGTTCTGTTTGTTTCTCCTTGATGAAACCCCCCGCTCCTTGGTTCACTCTACTTCCCTGTAAGCTAACCACCCGCCCCTCCTCCCTTCAATCACCGCTTGCAGAGGCAATAAAGTCATTGTTGCTTCACATTCATGCATTCTTTATTCATTCATCACACAAATAGGGGGATGACTACCAAGGTAGCCCAGGAGGGGTGGTGGAGGAGGGAAGGAAAATGCCACACAGCACTTTAAGCACAGCACTTTAAAAGTTTACAACTTTAAAATTTATTGAATGACAGCCTTCTTTTTTTTGGGCAATCCTCTGTGGTGGAGTGGCTGGTTGGCGGAGGCCCCCCCACCGCGTTCTTGGGCGTCTGGGTGTGGAGGCTATGGAACTTGGGGAGGAGGGCGGTTGGTTACACAGGGGCTGTAGTGGCAGTCTGTGCTCCAGCTGCCTTTGCTGCAGCTCAACCATACACTGGAGCATACTGGTTTGGTCCTCCAGCAGCCTCAGCATTGAATCCTGCCTCCTCTCATCACGCTGCCGCCACATTTTGAGCTTCAGCCCTGTCTTCAGCCCGCCACTTACTCTCTTCAGCCCGCCACCTCTCCTCCCGGTCATTTTGTGCTTTCCTGCACTCTGACATTATTTGCCTCCACGCATTCGTCTGTGCTCTGTCAGTGTGGGAGGACAGCATGAGCTCGGAGAACATGTCATCGCAAGTGCGTTTTTTTTTCTTTCTAAGCTTCACTAGCCTCTGGGAAGGAGAAGATCCTGTGATCATTGAAACACATGCAGCTGGTGGAGAAAAAAAAAGGGACAGCGGTATTTAAAAAGACACATTTTATAAAAGAGTGGCTACACTCTTTCAGGGTAAACCTTGCTATTAACATTACATACATAGCACATGTGCTTTCGTTACAAGGTCGCATTTTGCCTCCCCCCACCGCGTGGCTACCCCCTCAACCTTCCTCCCTCCCTGTGGCTAACAGCGGGGAACATTTCTGTTTAGGCACAGGCAAACAGCCCAGCAGGAATGGGCTCCTCTGAGTGTCCCCTGAAGAAAAGCACTCTGTTTCAACCAGGTGACCATGAATTATATCTCACTCTCCTGAGGATAACACAGAGAGATAAAGAATGGATGTTGTTTGAATGCCAGCAAACATACACTGCAATGCTTTGTTCTACAGTGATTCCCGAGTACGTGTTACTGGCCTGGAGTGGTAAAGTGTCCTACCATGAAGGACGCAATAAGGCTGCCCTCCCCAGAAACCTTTTGCAAAGGCTTTAGGAGTACATCTAGGAGAACCACGAATGCCAGGGCAAAGTAATCCTTTCACATGCTTGCTTTTAAACCATGTATAGTATTTTAAAAGGTACACTCACCAGAGGTCCCTTCTCCACCTGCTGGGTCCAGGAGGCAGCCTTGGGTGGGTTCGGGGGGTACTGGCTCCAGGTCCAGGGTGAGAAACAGTTCCTGGCTGTCGGGGAAAACCGGTTTCTCCGCTTGCTTGCTGTGAGCTATCTACAACGTCATCATCATCATCTTCTTCGTCCCCAAAACCTGCTTCCGTATTGCCTCCATCTCTATTGAAGGAGTCGAACAACACGGCTGGGGTAGTGGTGGCTGAACCCCCTAAAATGGCATGCAGCTCATCATAGAAGCGGCATGTTTGGGGCTCTGACCCGGAGCAGCTGTTCGCCTCTCTGGTTTTCTGGTAGGCTTGCCTCAGCTCCTTCAGTTTCACGTGGCACCGCTTCGGGTCCCTGTTATGGCCTCTGTCCTTCATGCCCTGGGAGATTTTGACAAAGGTTTTGGCATTTCGAAAACTGGAACGGAGTTCTGATAGCACGGATTCCTCTCCCCAAACAGCGATCAGATCCCGTACCTCCCGTTCGGTCCATGCTGGAGCTCTTTTGCGATTCTGGGACTCCATCATGGTCACCTGTGCTGATGAGCTCTGCATGGTCACCTGCAGCTTGCCACGCTGGCCAAACAGGAAATGAGATTCAAAAGTTCGCGGTTCTTTTCCTGTCTACCTGGCCAGTGCATCTGAGTTGAGAGTGCTGTCCAGAGCGGTCACAATGGAGCACTCTGGGATAGCTCCCGGAGGCCAATACCGTCGAATTGTGTCCACAGTACCCCAAATTCGAGCCAGCAAGGCCGATTTAAGCGCTAATCCACTTGTCAGGGGTGGAGTAAGAAAATCGATTTTAAGAGCCCTTTAAGTCGAAATAAAGGGCTTCATCATGTGGACGGGTGCAGGTTTACATCGATTTAATGCTGCTAAATTCGACCTAAAGTCCTAGTGTAGACCAGGGCATAATTTTTAAAAATTACATCTTGGATTTTGGAGCACAATTCTGCAGCAAGGGATAGAATCTGCTGCAAGTTCTATGACTGCAAATTTGCATGACACATAAATACACAAGGCCCTAAATATAAATACATATAATATCTTAGTCACTGTATATAATACTGATATATTGGTCTGCTCCTTCATCCTTCATTCACATGAGTAGTCTTAAACTCAATGGGACTGTTCACAGGAGTAAGATCTGCTGGATTGTGCCCACGTAAATATCATCATTCAAAGTCAAAACTGATAAATCTTTAAAATATTCTCCTAAAGCTAATAAAACTCTATAGTGACCAATCGGAGATTAGTAAATACTAATGGGAAATTTAGTATATCCACTGGCAGCGAACAGACAATTACTGTAAAAGACAGCGCAGAATGTTTTCCATTTGATTTCCATGCCAGGTGTTCTGTCTAGCTGTCTGTGATTTGTTTGCATTATTTTACTAATAGTGTTTTTATATTATTAGATTTGTAGTTACTGTCAAAATATATACTTCAGTGAACAAAGTATGTCCCCTAAAATTGGAAGAATTCTTAGAGATATGTCATAGGTGTAAAGTGTTTTGATAACTTAATAAAAAATATTCCAGTCTCTTTCATCTCAACAGTGCCACTGAAGAAAAATTAATCTTTAACCTTCATATTAGCAATTCACATTTGCCCATGGTTGTTGATTTCTGTCTGATTTCAATATCTGAATTTTGCATCATACTCTTCTTTCTATACAGTATAATTAATTTGCTGCTTAGTCTCAGTATCTTTGTTTGTTTTTAAAGTGTTAATTACAGTAGCTCTTCCATGAATCAATTGATTTGTTTTCATTTCTTCACTTTATCAATTACTGTTTAGTCATATTTTTTGTCACAACACATTGGTTGGTAGATGGAGTTAAAAACCCATGGAAAGGTAGAAAACTCCAGCTCAAAGTTCAGAGATGATGCTTTGGGCTCTGGAAAGAACAAAGTAGGGGACACTACTTTCCATAGGTTTCCAGCTTGAAAGAAGAAGTGAAAGCACAGCAATGGAGAAATTAGTCCATCTGGAATCACAGAATCATAATGTCCTTAAAACATTGAAAGGCCAATTCAGAATTACCAAATGTTGTTTTATTGGAACATTGAGATATTTGTCTTTTTCTGCTTGTTTCCTGTGCACCTCAAAAATTCTGATGAAATGGAAACTCACTCTGAAGTTCACATTTTGCTTGCTACCCTCTAGGGCTGCTTTGTGTTTAAACCAAGTTCCAAGAAGAGAAGGATATCTTCACAAACAGGTTAGTACATTTTGATATATATTGCTATGCTTTAGAAAGGACCACTTGATCCCATAAGCCTCAACTCTGATTTTATTCTGTAATGTCCACATATGGATTTCATTTACTCCCCAATGCCAACACAATATTGAAGAGCTGTCATCTCTTCAGCAGCAGCATCCCAGCTAGTTATTAACTGCTATGAAATTTCTTCATCTCCAGAGCTCTGCCTTCATTGCCTTCTTCATCTTTATAGAAATCTTTTTTCAGGAAAACTTTTTCTCCATACTGTCATAAACAGATATTTTGTCAAGCCAGTAAACAATAACTGCTAAATCAAAGGAGAACCACGATTGGTAGGCATTGAATACTCTTATCTAATCAGAAATGATGCATCATTCAGCATGCTGATCATATTTTACTTCGCTTGTCTGATTTTGGTGAGGAAGAGGTCAGAAAAAAGCCGTTTGTACCCCTAAGGTTCTTGTCCATTTGTTCTGCATTATTTATGCTTCCCATCCGTCAGCCCCCATGTAGTATTCACCATCAGAGAAGAACTAGACAGGACCGACTCCCCTTGGACGTATGAGTAGTGCTGCTCAGTTCCTGTTAAGAGCAACGCAAGGGACGTCCTGTCCTTACTCCCAGGTTGAGAATGCTGACTTGGCAGCACTCCTAATCCCTGCTAGCCCCAGAGCTGTCAAAAGCAGTGATAATTTGAATGAAGAAGAGTGCGGGGGGGGGAGAAGATGAGCCAGATTTTAAATCTCATTGGAAAACACTGCAGACTCCTTTATCACCAGAGGGATATACTGTAACACCTGCTTTAAAATTAATCCAAAATGATTTTCTTTCCCCAGGCCTGGCATGTCTGAAACCCCAGGAGCTTGAGATTAGGAGATCTAGCCTAGGTTTTCTAACCATCAGTACAGAGCACTACTAGATAACTAAGACAGTGATTGGATTTTATCATGGGATAGACTTGGGACATCACAGTAGAATTTTTATTTTACTGAAACCTTTGTTTGTGTTAACATTCTGCTAAATTAATCTTCCTAAAATTGATGTTGCTCCAATTTAGCAGCCAATATATGTTATCACTATCTTTTGGGAATAGTTCAGTGAAATTTAATACAAATGTTAACTAATTTTGCTATTGTAAACCAGTCAATGTTTAGAATAATCTTTTAAATATATTTTTGGGAGATTTAGCATGCTACTGGATTAAGTGAAATATCTAGTTAATTACTACAGTCCTAGAGGAGATGACATTCAACTGAGTAGGAGTCATCTATGTATTTTTATTTTTTTTACCTTGAGGAAAGGAAGAATCGGGGCGTCGCCAGATATACAAATCAGCTCTCTATCTTTTAGCTGTTCGTCATGTGGATCTGGCCATTGTTAAAAATATTGGCTGGTCACTGCATGCTTGCACACACACATCCCCTTCTTCCATCATCTACTCAGGACTAAATTTTTAATGGTGTTTAGGTACCTAAAGATGCAGGTATAGTACCTGGTGGAATTTTCAAAAGTGCCTATGCGTCTAATGCCCATTAGGGCTTAAAATTCTATTAAAATCTGATTGATTGAAAATCCCGGTAGGTCCCAAGATGTATCTTTAGGCACCTAAATACCTGTAAGTCTGTCCCTCAGTCCAAGACACTGATTTTGTGTACCTTTCTTTCTGGCCATTCAGAAAATGGACTTCAGGTATGCATTTATAGGTGGAAGAGAAGGCCCTGCATATGCACAGACTTCTACTAAGGCCTAAGAAATAGGCAGTGCTCTCTTGTTTGTATGTCCAGCTTTTTGGCCCAGTACTGCAAGATGCTGAGTACTTTCAAATTCCATTAACTTCAGACAGAATTGCTGGTACACCACACCTCTCAGGACCAGATCTTTGTGCAGACTTGCACCTAGCATCTGCTGTCTAGAGGCTTGTGAAAAAAAAAAAAAAATTTGGTCTGATCACACATGGTAGTTTGGTCTTGCAGGTCTTTTCTTTTTTTAATTAACTAAAAGCAACACAAAGGATCCTGGAGCCATTTAAATAGCTTTGTTAGTATAGGTCATTGGTCACCAACTGGTTGATTGTGATCGACTTGTCGATCGTAGAGGATCTCCCAGTCGATTGCGATCTCCGGCAGCAGTGCAGTGTGGCTCCCTGCTTACCCCGCCCCACGCCGCTCCTGGAAGCGGCCACTGCAGCCTCGGGGGTGGGTGTCAGGGGTCTCCCTCGTGTTGCTTCTGCCTGCAAGCCGGGAGAGCTGCGGGGCAGTGCTTGCAGAGAGGGGCAGTGCACAGAGCCACGTGTCCCCTGCTGTCCTCACCCCAGGGGCACATTGACCCTTTCCGTGAGCAGTGTGGGGCTGGGGTAGGCAGGGAGCCTGCCTTAGCCTCAGTGCACCCACCGCCAACCAGGAGCCACTGGAGGTAAGCGCTGCCCAGTGGGACGCCGCACCCCAACCTCCATCTCTGAACCCCCTCCAGGAACCAGCGCCTCATACCCCCTCCTGCATCCCAGCCCTGAGCCCCTTCTGGAGTCAGCACCTCAAACCCCCTCCTGCACTGCAACACTCTGCCCCAGCCCAAACACTCTGCCCCCTCCTGCACCCAAATTCCCTCCCAGAGCCTGCACCCTTTACCCCCTCCTGCACCCCAACCTGCTGCTTCAGGCTCAACCCAGAGCCCCCTCTCACTCTGTGAACCCCTCAGCCCCAACCCCCTGCCCAAGCCCAGTGAAAGTCAGTGAGGTTGGGGGAGAGCGAGCAATGTAGAGAGCGGAGGATGGAGTGAGCGGGGCAGGGCTTTGGGGAAGTGGCTGGGTAGATCCTGAGTTGCCCTTAAATTCAAAAAGTGATCTTGGGCGTAAAGAAGGTTGGAGACCACAGGTGTAGGTAAACAATAAGATCTTTGATGGGGGTTCTGTTAATCACAAATAGTGATACGTTCCCAGGCACATCAGCTGATTAATTTCTTACTTCTGAGGGGGAATTATGCACCAAGAAATTTAAAATTATGCACACAATATTTTAAAATTATGCACATTTTATTTGTCAATAAACAAATGTGGCTCCAATATGGCAGTGGGGAGCACAGGCCACTGGCTGTATTGAGGTGAGAGATCACCCTGAAGCCGCCACTTCCCCCGGTACAGAGACTCGGCAGTGAGGCTGCACCTGACTCTTGACACAGTGCAAGGGGTGGGCCTGCCCCAGAAATGCCCCAGGGCCCTGCCCCTCTGCGCCAGCTGTGGGTGGGCAGGCTCAACCCAGCAGGATCCAAGTGTGGAGGGGCTTAGATTGGGGGAATCCAGGTGTCAGGTGAGAGGTTTCTGGGTGGGGCAATCTGGGTGTGAGCAGCTCAGTGGGAGATCTGGATGCACAGAGGCTCGTTGGTGGGTTCCAGGTGCAGGGGCAATGGGGTTCTGCAGGGGATCCAGATGAAGGTGGTTGGGGCTTGGGGGGGAGTGGGTCTGGTTATGGGGGGCTCAGTGGGGGATCTGGGTGCTGGGGGAGAGGGGCTTGGGGGGTGGGGGTCCAAGTGCAGCTGGTTGGGGATCAGTGGGTGGGGGCTCATCAGAGAGCCCCAGTTGAAGGGGGTAGGGCTTGTCAGGGTGAGGGTTCAATGGGTCTGCTTAATGGGGGAGCCCCAGCTGCTGCTGAAGGGACACTGCATGCCGGGCTCCCACTTCCCCCCATGATTCCCCTATCTTCTCCATCCTCCTCCCCTCACTCCCACATTTCTTCCCCTCCCCCCAACCCCCCCACCCTCGTTACCCAGCCCAACCACGGGCACTCACTGTTGCACAGAATGGAAAACAGGAAGGCTCCCAGAACACAGAAGGAGAGCATTACTGGCACTAGGATCCAGGAAGCTGCGTTCAGCTGCAGAGTCATTGGAGCCATGGAGAGACAGCTTCCTTCAGCTGGGCAGCTCTGCGATTGCAGAATGTGGGGGCAGGGACAAGTAGCATGTAAACCCTTGTGGCCCCCCCCCATGCCTCGCCACTGTTTGGAGGGGGGCAGTCCCCCCCAGAAAACTGCACCCATGGTCACCCCCCGCCTTCCTCTCCTTGCCCCCATGCTCTTCCCTTTGCTTCCCTGCTGTTTTCTGCAGGGAAACACAGGAAATCTGCAGGGTTGGGAGTGTGTATTTTCTGCGGGCATGCAGTCCTGCAGAATCCCCGCAGGAGTAATTTCTAGACACTAGACTGCAGCTGATTGTTCAGTACCTGATCATTAAAGGGAACTTGCAGTTCTGTTGTAACATTATTTTTGTTTTCATGTCTTTTGTCAAGGTTCCTTCCCCACTCTGAACTCTAGGGTACAGATGTGGGGACCTGCATGAAAGATCCCCTAAGCTTATTCTTACCAGCTTAGGTTAAAAGCTGCCACCACCAAAGTGTTACACAAAGAACAGGGGAAGTGCCCACTTGGAAATGTCTCCCCCCCACAATATCCCCCCAATCCCTACATTCCCTTTCCTGGGGAAGGCTTGATAAAAATCCTCACCAATTTGCATAGGTGAACACAGACCCAAACCCTTGGATCTTAAGAACAATGAAAAAAGCAATCAGGTTCTTAAAAGAAGAATTTTAATTAAAGAAAAAATAAAAGAATCACCTCTGTAAAATCAGGATGGTAAATACCTTACAGGGTAATCAGATTCAAAACATAGAGAATCCCTCTAGGCAAAACCTTAAGTTACAAAAAGACACAAAAACAGGAATATACATTCCATTCAGCACAACTTATTTTATCAGCCATTTAAACAAAACAGAATCTAACGCATATCTAACTAGATTGCTTACTAACTCTTTACAGGAGTTCTGACCTACATTCCTGCTCTGGTTCCAGCAAAAACATCACACAGGTAGAGAGGACCCTTTGTTCCTCCTTCCCCCCCTCCAGCTTTGAAAGTATCTTGTCTCCTCATTGGTCATTTTGGTCAGGTGCCAGCGGGGTTATCTTAGCTTCTTAACCCTTTACAGGTGAAAGGGTTTTTCCTCTGTCCAGGAGGGATTTAAAGGTGGTTAGCCTTCCCTTTATATTTATGACATCTTTGCTACTTCAAAGAGAAAAGTTAATCATTGTATCCATCCTGCATTGCCCTGACAGTTAACTGAATTCTTTATCTAACCTTCAGCCATTGTATCCTTCCAGGTAGTGTTAGCTGTCCTCTAAGCCAGGGGTTCTCAACCTTTTTCTTTCTGAGGCCCCCCCAACATGCTATAAAAACTCCACGGCCCATCTCTGCAACAACAACTGTTTTCTGCATATAAAAGCCAGGGCCAGCAATTGCATGGGGCCCTACGCCACAGGAGCCCACATGAAGCTAAGTGCCTCAGGCTTCTGCTTTAGCTCTGGGTGGTGTGGCTCAGGGTCCTGGGCTTCAGCTCTGCATGGCAAGGCTTATGCTTTCTGCCCTGGGCCCCAGTGAGTCTAACACTGGTCCTGCTTGGCAGAACCCTGAAACCTGCTTGCGGCCCCCCAAGGGAGCCCCAGACCCCTGGTTGAGAACCACTGCTCTAAGTTACAGCAAGTCATGCTGATTGAATTGCATTTGTGAGAGTTAAAGGTAGTTACAGGCTCTGCATGCACATTTTTAAAAGAGGAATCCTACATGAAGTAAGATTGTAGTTGTGGATTTTTTTTAATTGAAAAATTACTTTATTTTCAAATGCATTTTCCCATTTCTCCTTCCAGCTTTGCATCTACTTCTTGGCTGAAGGCAGGTTTAGGGGTTCTAAAGCAAAGCAGCACCTAAGAAGCTGAGTGCAGAATGTCTCAGCAGAGAGACATTAGGACACTGCTAACAAAAAGGGTCTGATATTTAAGAAGTGCTTATTAACTTGAACGTTCAGGCCCAGATAGTTTGTCCCTTAGCTTCTTCCCATAAAGAGCCAACATGGAGGTGAGGAAAGGTTGGAGATGGGGACCAGAAATTTAGACCTGGTCTGCACTTAAAAGTTTTGCTAGTGTATGTCAGGAGTGTGAAAAAATCACATGCACCCCCAGCTGACATAAGAATGTTGGCAAATGTAAACGCTGTGATACCACCACAAATGTGCTTTCTCTGGTGTAGTTTATTTCATTTGTGAACTGGAATAAGATATAGTGGCAAAAGTTATTATTTGTATTATGCCATTCTGGGACCCCTGATCATGGACCAGGACCCCTTTGGGCTAGACCAGTGGTTCTCAAACTTTTGTACTGGTGACCCCTTTCACATAGCAAGCCTCTGCGTGCGACCCCCCCCCCCAATTAAAAAACACATTTTTGTATATTTAACACCATTATAAAAACTGGAGGCAAAGCGGGGCTTGGGGTGGAGGCTGACAGCTCACGACCCCCCATGTAATAACCTCGCACCGCAACCCCCTGAGGGGTCCCGACCCCCAGTTTGAGAACCTCTGGGCTAGACATTGTACAAACACTCAACAAAAAGATGGTCCCTGCCCAAGTTCCTTAGTTTCTTCTGGTATAAACTGCATCTCCACTGGGAGGTTGCTAATATTGCTATACTGGCAAAGCCTTCTAGTATAGACCTGATGTTACTGTGGAATAATGGAGGGGGACCAGAGACCCTATTGCAAGCACTGTGGAAGACCCCATGACTGGCTGGCTGAGTGGGCTGAGAGATGGAATGAAGCAAGTTGGACAGTTTGGGGAGGGGGATATTTGTAATAGGGGAGACAACTGCTAGTTTATCCAGCTGCAAGGTGGGGTGTGGATGGTTGCCAAGCAAGGTGGCCCAATGCAGTGGTTCTCAACCAGGGGTCCAAGGCCCGCTGAGGGGGCCGCAAGCAGGTTTCCAAGGGTACACCAAGCAGGGCCGGCATTCGACTTGCTGGGTCCCAGGGCAGAAAGCCGAAGCCCCATGGCCTGAGACTGAAGCTCAGGGCTCCAAGTCCTGCCACCCAGGGCTGAAGCCGAAACCTGAGTGACTTTTTAGCTTCACATGGCCCCGTTTGGAATGGAGCCCTGGGCAATTGCCCTGCTTGCTACCCCCTAACTCTGGCCTGGGCTTTTATATGCAGAAAAACAGTTGTTGTGGCACAGGTGGGTTGTGGAATTTTTATAGCACGTTGGGAGAGGGGCTTCAGAAAGGATAAGGTTGAGAACCCCTGGCGTAGTGGAAAGAGCATTGGACAAGGATTCAGGAGATCTGGATTCTAGTCCTGGCTCTGCCACTGGCCTACCGGCTGATTGTGGGCAAGTCACTTCTGTCTCTGTTCCTGCATTTTAGAGATGATGATAATGATACTAACCTCCTTTGTAAACTGCTTTGAGATCTGTGGATGAAAAGTGCTATATAAGAGCTAGGTAGGTATGTATGTATTTATTCATTTATCTTTTTGTCTCAGTTTGGGACCAGTGGTGCAAGTCAGCTCATTCACCAACTCCTCCTGGCAACAGCTTCTGCATACTTCCCTCTCTTGTTCTGCCTACCTGATAGAGATACATGCAGTTAGTAGATAAATAATGGCTTGTTATGAATGAGGATAGATTTCCTTTTCAGCCATTGTATAGTTTTCTTATGAAAAAAAAGTTTTGTTTTTATAAACACCATTATGATTGCCTTTTATTTTTATTTTTCCAGCTGACTATTTTAGTGAAGCTAAAAATGATTCAGAGGACAGTGGTCTTCGATTTGCTACTTGTCAGTTGTTATGGAAGCAGATCAATTCCGAAACGGAGGTGGGTCCTGCTACTTAATACTAACTATAATTTTTACATTTTAAATCAATTCTGGTGTTTTGTTTTGTTCTTATTTTTCTGAGTGATTTCCTTTACCTGCTGACAAGATGAATGGTCTGGCAGGAAGAGAGCCAGAAATGTGGAGTGCGACTGAAACCTCCATAAGGAACATATAAAAAACACCACTGGTACACTGTTTCTAACCATGACACACATACCAATTCTGATGCATAAGCTTCCCTGCCTTACCTTACCAATGGTCCTCTTTGCTGTATCCTGGTGTATTGCCACTGTCTGATTCTAATCCAGTTGTGTGTTTTTTCTAAGCCACAGTGAAGTTTAGGCTGCTCTAAACCTCAGTTTTGTGGGGTATAGGGTATCTCAAGGTCCATGGTGGATTAGGCCACGTCGGCGCTACCCGCCGGTCGGTAGGTAGTGATCAATCTATTGGGGATCGATTTATCGCATCTAGTGTAGATGCGATAAATCGATCCCCGATCGCTCTGCCGTCGACTCTGGAACTCCTCCACAGTGAGAGGCAGAAGTGGAGTCGACGGAGGAGCGGCGGCCGTCGATTCTGCACTGCGAGGACGCCAAGTAAGTGATTCTAAGTCCATCTAAGAAACATTGACTTCAGCTATACTATTCTCATAGCTGAAGTTGCATATCTTAGATGGATTTCTTCTCCCCTCCCCCCCCCCCCCCACCCACCAGTGTGGACCAGGCCTTAGAATACATGCTGGTGAATGGAAGACAGATATGTGCTAATATGACTGAGCGCTTAGTCTGATGAACTGGTATCAACAGTGTCTTTTGTATACCAGTGAGAAGTCCTATAATGATAACTACCTCAAACAAAGCAGACTGTTTTAGGAAAAATAAAATGTTTCCTCAACCTCTTGGTTACTTGAGGCCTTATGAAATTAAGTAACCTATAATTAGGAGCCCAAAACATTTTAATAAGTTTAACATTGCAAGATGGAGCAGATGAAGAGAGATTTTTATTATGATGGGTTTTTTTGCGGGAAAGCAATCCCAGAAGATATTCTGCCTACTAGTCTTCCCTCCTCACCTGTTTCTCCCCTCTTCCTCCCCCTGTTTAAAGAAGAACTTGCACCCTGTAGTGAACTTAATATATCTGACTGAAAACATAAAAGCAGTGATAGGTAGTGGGGTTTTATACTTTTCTGGCTGTGTTTTCCAAAGATATATGTTTAAATCAGGGCTTGCTCCCATGCAGCTCATTATTATTAATATTCAGGTCGACTTCTGCAAATAGTTTTGGACACAAAAAGATGAGGGGGAAAATTTTTGAAAAAGTCGGACTGATTTGTTTTGATATTTTTTCTAAATGAACCATTTCAAGATTTCATTTTGAGATGATGTTTGAAATGTTTCATTCAACCAGAATAAAAACGTTTTCATTTCAGAGAGGAAACAATGAAAAATTTCAGGTTTTGGTTTGAAACAAAGCAAATTTGGGGGGTGGATTTTTTTGTTCGACCACTGAATCAAAAAATAAATTATTCACTCAACTCTAGTAAAGATCTAGGGTCTTGGTAGAACAGTTCAGTGCAACCATGTACTCAATGTGCAGTAGTGGTCAAAAAAGCAAATACAGTGTTAAGATACCTAAGGCTCAGAGGAGGCAGCAGCAGCTGGCTGGTCACAGCGCCTAAAGCCAACCCCATAAGTGATTTTTGTTGTAAGAAGTATGTGATTAGGTTTTGGTTGGTAGAGATGAAACCATCTGTCCATTACATTTTCTGATATTCCTAAACAGGACTACAACTTCCCTGTCAATTCCAGCAGAAGGAATATTTTGGGCTGGAAATAGAGAGCCACAAATAAACACATTTGATAATTGAAGGAAATAGAAAAATACTGCGAAAGTATATCTGTCTTTATTGATTTTTTTAAAATTATTTTTTCACGTTGATCCCAGTATGAAAATAATTTTTCAAGGATAAAAGGGAGTAGAGTTATGGTGACAAATAAGGCATGTGTTCGCTGAAGATATTGTTTCATCATCTAAGCCTAATACTTTTCTTAGCTGATTTTTTTTCCTGTTTAGATTTAAAGGAATTGAATGTTGACTCTCCTGTGTAACTGTAGAATTTACACAGAAAATGCTTTCAGGTGTTCTGTAAGACAATAGGGATTTAGAGGAGTAGATATGGACATCCTGCCAGAAATAATTGCACTGTTTTGTACATCCAGAGGTCACTTGCTTTTTCGTAGCTAAATACATTTTTTTTCTCCTCTGTGCCTGAATCATTTTTAAGATTACTGTTCAACCTGTCATGCAGCAACATACTTAAACAAAGATGCAGTATTCCTGAATTTATTGAGATGCTTGATCAAAGCATCAAGGGAAAACAGAAAGCAACACTTCTGTTTCTGCCACCTAATAAATTATACACTCTGGTCATAATTGGCAGAAAAACAGAATATTAATTTAGAATTGGACCCTGGATAATTTGCTTTGGGGCTTTTAACAACCAGTAAAGTGACAAGAGGGAAGCGGGAAAGGGGGGACTCCAGTGTCTCCCCGCCTGTGTATAATAAAAGCCATGTGTGTGTGTTTGTTTTCTAGAAAATACAAGAAGAACTGAATAAACAATTATTTGATAACTTAATAAGTTTTCTGAGACAATCTCACTCTGAATTCCAAACAAAGAAGACAGAATGGATGTGTCGGATGAAATCCAGTGAAATTCCTACTGCAGCTCTTGTCCTAGGTAACTTTTTTGCATTTTAAGACACTTTGTCTGTCAAACCTCTAAATTAGGTTAAAGATCAAAAGAAATTGAGTTGGAGCCTTCCAGCTATTGGAGCAAGCAGCTTGAACTTCAGAAACGTTAATAGACAAGATTCAGAGGAAAGCTGTGTCGGTTTTTCTTGTTTTTCCCATATGTATAAAGGCACAGTGTGAGAGCATCTCCACCATAGGTTTTGCCTTAGGCAATAGGAGGAAGTGGACATCAGAACATTTGGATTCTATTCCCATTTCTACCACCAACGTGCTGTGTGAGGTTTGTCTGATTATCTTGTTTTTTTTTTTATATGACATCCATTACCATGGGATATGAGTGCCTCATGAATTTATTCTCCCAATCTTCCTTCTAGATAGGCAAATATTGTCCTTATTTTTTATTTACAGTTTTTATTTTTCCAAGTACAACAAATATACCAAAACACCAGATTCAGCATAATGCTCAAAGTAAGTAAAGAGGTATTTGTGGCACCTTAGAGACTAACCAATTTATTTGAGCATGAGCTTTCGTGAGCTACAGCTCACTTCGTCAGATGTATACCGTGGAAACATCTGATGAAGTGAGCACCACATAATCTTTTTTACTCAGACTAACACGGCTGTTCCTCTGAAATGTAAGTAAAGAGGTTAGATTAAAGAGCGGGGATGGGAGGGGTAGCAACATAATCTATTTTAAAGAGCTACAATAATCATAGACCTCTTAAAAAGTCAGCCCAAATTGCTTTGAATTTTTTGAATATTCTCCTTCTGCAGAATGTGAGTCATCTGTCAGATGCAAAGTCAGCCATATCACTGAGTGACGCATCAGTGTTTGGTGGGGATTGACTTTTCCATTTTTTCAGGATTAATTTTTTTAGTTACCAGTGTTGATCATTGGGACCGTGCCGCTTTGTTACCAGGTAATCTCCAGGTATCAGGAATACATCCATGGATGAAATTTAAGGGGGAGGGCTTCAACTTAGCATCCAATATTAAACTGGTCCTTTGACCCACCTCATAAGAGAAATAGATATTGGGGCACTCTCAAAACATAAAAGCTAATGCAATACCCAGGGAGTTACATTACCAACAGCAGTCCATATTTGTGAGACTCTGGCAGGCTGGACTAGGTCTGGAGGCCTTGCAGCCTTGTATTACCCTGTCCCAGAATAGAGCAGCGATAAGTCCTCAAGGCAGCCTAGCGTGGCTGTAGAAGAGCGGCTAGTCAGAGGAGCTGCTGGAGCGACCAATAAGGGGTCGGTCAGAAGAGCCAGATAAAAGGCAAGCAGCAGAGCAGCCTTCAGTTCCTGCTTGGAGCTCGAAGAGGGAGCAGCAGGTCCCTGGATAGCTCACTGCGGAGGCAGAACCGAGGCCAGAGAAGGTTGCCAAAGACTGGGTGCCTGTCTGGCTGGATAGAAGAGCAGAAGGACCATGAAAAGGTCAGTGCAGGCAGGCTGAGCCCGGGGGACGTAGACCAAAACCTGGCCAGACCAGGCGAGAGTATCGAGATAGGCCCTGCTGGTTTACTTAAAGACTGAACCCAGGGAGGGCTGTGGCCCTGGCTAGGTGCCTGAAGAAGGCAATGTCTCTGGGAAGAAGCCTAAGAGTTATGGCCCCATATCAGAGCCGTGATAAGAACTTGGGACTGTATACCCTGGAAGGGGGGACAGCGTGTGCGTCTTAGCCAGAGGGCTGAGCTACCGAAGACCAGCCGAGAGAACCATGGGCTGAGGGAGTGGGGGTGCTCACGAGAGGAGGGTGCCACCCCATTGAAAAAACAAAAAACCAAAAGCAGGCTCACACCTAACCAAGAGAAAGGGGGCCATCCACGAGATGTGGGTACTCACCCCCCCCCCCCCATGAAAAGAACTGTGTTTGCAGGCACTATCTGCCAGAGAAATGGAGGCACACACGAGAGGCGGGTGCTGACCCTGTTACAGGCCTATTACCATTAATAATTGTAATAATTGAGCCTTCATGGGGGATCATTATATTTAAAAAAAAAAAAAAAAGTGGGGGGTGTCTTTTGGTGAATAAGGCTTAGTCTAAAGTTGCTTTTTTAACATTAGATACAGTTGTATTTCTTGTTTCTCTTTTTGACAAATGAGGCACTGAGGAAAAAAAGATATTTGGGCAATGATTTTATTCACAGAAATTAATGGGAGTGTGCCATTGACTTCAGTGGGGCCAGGATATTACCCTTACGGTAGGTTTTTAAGGCCCGGCTTGACAAAGCCCTGGCTGGGATGATTTAGTTGAGGTTGGTCCTGCTTTGAGCAGGGGGTTGGACTACATGACCTCCTGAGATCTCTTCCAACCCTAATCTTCTATGAATCTATGTCTGCATGTCAAGAAAACACCTTTGGTTGGCCTGTAGGGCTGTAAATTTGTAGTGTAGACTCTCGGGCTGGAGCCTGGGTTCTAGTACCTTCCCCCCCCTCAGGGTCCTCCTAAAATTAGGTCTAAGCTATGGTTCTATATGTTTTTTACATTTGGTTTAGCTGAAACAGTTTTACAATTGGTTAGAAAATGTCCCCATTGTACACAAATCCAGGTAGTCTATGGCAGAGTTGGTAGTTGAACTCAGATCTTCCGAGTTCCAATCCTTCCTCCTTGGAAGTGGGGATAAAAGAAATAACTAAGCAGCTCCGTTTGTTTCCCCTTAAAAATCTAATGTGTACATTGCTAATCTTTAGACTCTTTGGAGGGTGTGGTGGGGAGATAGATAATAAAGCCTTCTTGAGTTCTGAGATCTGGTATAGTGGTAGTATAAGGGTATGTCTTCACTACCCACCAGTTCAGCAGGCAGCTATCGATTCAGCAGGGATCGATTTATCGCGTCTAGACTAGATGTGATAAATCGATCCCTGAGTGCTCTCCCGTCGACTCCTGTACTCTAGCGCCATGAGAGGTGCAGGCAGAGTTGTCGGGGGAGCAGCAGCAGTTGACTCAGCGCGGTGAAGACACCACGGTAAGTCGATCTAAGTATGTTGACTTCAGCTACGTTATTCATTTAGCTGAAGTTGTGTAACTTAGATCGATTTGCCCTTTCCCCCTCCCGCCCCCCACCCCCCGTAGACCAGGGCAAAGATTCATTCATTGTCTTTCTCCATCCCTCCAAAATTCTAAATAACAAAAATAACTGGTTTTTCCTCATTCTTGCTATTGAGAGTATTCTTGACAGCTTGTTAAGTGGACTCCAGCGCAGAATTACATCAAGAGGGATCAAACAGCTGTTTTTAAAAAAAAACAACTGAGAAATATTCAGATCTCAAGTGCCTGTTACCTTCCTTCCTCCTGGAAGGAGCTTGAGAGATATTTCTGTTGCTATCTCTAGACAGATAAAATAATCTGTGATACCATTGATTTTAATCAGCCATCACTAATATGAAATTCTGAATACAAATTTTCTTCATAACTTATAGGTGACCTGTCATTTTTTCACTCTTCTCTTTCTTGTCCATTTGAGATATCTTCTCATTTAATGATTCTGATAATAAACAGGGATAATACAGTATTGATTTTTCTTCCTTCTAGGTGTAAATGTTACAGATCATGCAATGACATTTAAAAGTCTCTCAGAGGTTCTTCAGGATAACGTTACTCCTTATGTAGTCTCACTGCAAGCCAAAGAATGCCCAGGTATATACCGTAATAGCTTTAACAACCTCTTCAAATGGTGCATGCCGTTAACCATAAATTCTATCTTATATTTTTGAATAATAAAAATTATGGATGGAAAAGACCATTTAGGCCATCTAGTCCAATCTCTTCACAATGCAAGATTGTTCTCTGCAATACATTTTCTAGTTATGTCCGGTTTTGTTTAAAACAATGAGGATTCCACCACTTCTTGTGGGAAACTGTTCTAGCTTTGTCATCCTGTTCAATTTGAAATAAAGCTGTTGCATATATTAAGATTTTTTTTTATATGATTTTATGTTTGGTCCAACCATTTCTTATTTTAAGCCTTGGGAAGAAGCAGATGTAACACTCATCATCGTTTCAGGGTAACTGCACCTGTATTCTTCCCTCTGTGGTCCACTCTAGAGGTGCCCAATCAGGTGCCAGGCCTCCAGCCATCACTTGTCTCTGGGAAGGGACCTCTGTCACACTCCCTTTTTTAACCGGGGGTTTTACAGCTGCATAGCCACATTCGATACAGTGTGACATCTGCAGCAAGACAGTCTGCCTTAAGGCGAGCACCTGGGCTTATCTTTCTCTCCAAGTGCCATGACAGGTGTGCTTTACCAGTAATCCAAATAGCTCTTTCTAAGCAAGTACATTTATTCTTAGGGCAAAAGCTGTGTGTGTGTGAGAGAGCCCCAATAAACTGATTTAAACACACACTAAACAGATCAGGAGTCACCCACCAATCTTATAGGACCCTAGAAAGGCAAAGTCTTTCCAACCCTTCAGCAGGGTCTGTTCCTTTGAATAAAAAGGAAGAACCTGTGTCAGTTCAAGCTCAGTTTTTTATACCAAAAGCCACTTCTCCGTTTGAGTCTCTGGAACATCCAGTTTGAAATAATATATGCCAACCTCCCCAAGGGTTGTACCTCTCTAGAGTTGTTTAGTTACAGTGACTCACCTTAATCACCTTCCTCAATACACAGTTTTTAGTTTCTGGAGGCGCTGTGGTAACCCTCTTCCATAGAATAGAGCACAAACATATATAAACCATTCATAAATTTTATTAAGTGGTCCCCAAAGATACTGCATTGTTTGCAATATCTGTCACAGGAAATATTCTATTATAAACTGAAATCTCCCTCTGCAAACCCTAGTCTCCTCTCTTTCAGCCACCAACTTAATGTCTCTGAGACATTTTCATAGTGAGGAGAATCACACCTGTTATAAAAAAAAAAAAGTTTTTTACATATTTTCAGAAAAATACTATCCCTTTTTTTTTTAATGCCAAGAACAGGCCTCATGGATACGTATTTATATTGTATGAAAAAGTAACATCATCTGTTCTGTAAAGCTTTATGTATATGTTTCATTATGTACATATAGCAACTTATTTTACTGCAATCAGGAATATCTGGAATAACATTTTCTTCAAAATATATACTTTTTGTCAGCTCAAAAGACTAAAATCAATCCTAGAAATACACTCAGATCTCTTGGTTAGCCTTTTAGTCTAACTTTAGGTTAATCCAGTAGTGCACAAACAGTGCATTGCTCAAGCCTGGGGGAGAGGCAGGATCAGTGTCTGACCCTTTGATTTCCTCCCTCCGCCATCAGACAAGCTAGTAGTGTTAACTGTTATACACAGCAATCCTGATCAAGGGAGGTTTGGGAGCTGCCTGGGGAAGATGAAAATAATGCTCTGCAGAGACGATGAGCTTGGTGGGGAAAGGGAAGAAAAGACAAAAACAGGATGACCCTGGGGGATGGATGGGGGGGGAGAAGGTGTGTGCGGGGTTAGAATTCTAGGTAACTAGGTGAGAATCTCTTCATTGTGTGTCTATATGTTATAAAGGCATAAAACATCTGCTGCAGAAACTGATGGGACAGCTAATGGACTGCTCTGTAGATGTGGACTCATCTGAGGAGGATGAATGTGTTAACATTTCCCAGAAAAAGATACACTGCTCAATGGCTTCTCTTTCCAAATGGTACGAGAATGTAACAAAGGTAGGCTTTCATACTGCCAGTTTATGAAATATCTGGCTTTTAAGTCTCATAAAATTTTAATTGCATGACTCAGTCTTGTATCTAATAGTCAAAACTAGCAAAGCTAGTTTTTCATTTAGTAGTAGGTGATACCTGACCCTGAGATCATCAGAACCTAAAAGTATTCTTTCACCAGTATGAATTCAGTTTCTAATTAAATATTGTCTATCTTTTTGAAAGGTAACTTTTGAAAGTGTGTTTCATAATTCAAAAAAAAAGGTTGTTTTATGCTAATCGTTTGGAAGTGGAAGCTTAAAACTCAAATCTGACTTCCTACCAAATGTTGTTCTCTCCAGACAAGATCCCTGAAGTATTTGTTTTGAAAAACAAAGTATGAAGAACAGATAACCTGGGGAAAGGCACATGATCGGCCTTTTACACAAGCTATCTGAAGCCAGCACTACACAGGCAGTTAATAAGAAAGGAAAACCTTCCAAATGTTTTATATTTTCTCACTATTGAAAAACTAAAAATTAGGAACACAAATATTTTACCAAAATTATTGAGACCCTGAAGGTCTCCTCTGGTTTCCTTACTGGGTAATTGGACAAAAAAGCATAGAATAATTTTCCTTTTTACTTCGTATTTACATTGATTTCAGTGGGATTTATGTGCTTTGCTGAATAGAAATGGACTTTAGTATGTTCATAAGTCTCTGCTAAATTGGGACCTAAATATCCATGCTCCAGTATCTCAGCTGAGATACAGGAGAGATCTACTGAGGGACAGGAGGAAAAAGAATCCTACTCTTTACTCCCAGTACTGGGAAGTCATTATGCAGATTCTTCTTTAACCTAATTTGGAATAGATGTTATGGTCTTAGCACAGCTCCTGAAGCAGAGTAATAGAGAATCTGTGCAACTGGGGATGCTTCATCCATTTTCGGTTCCCAGGCATGCCTGACTAGCTACTGTGATTTTCACAAGAAGTGGTGCACATCTGTGTGCCCACCCCAAATTGTCCCTCCCCTTGCCCAGTGGAACCACACCAGAGGGCTCTGCAGCGGTAAGGGCTGGATTGGCCCTTGTTGAAGAATAGCTTTCTTACCTATTCTCTGTTATAGCTATTTCATTTAGGTCACAGGAGAGGAACAGTGGTACTGTACACAGTTAGAGAAGTACCATGTGTTCCTTAAACAAAACGTTTTGTTTATTTTGGTTAAGTTGTCCATGTGGTAATAAAGTGTTATATCATGGGAGACAAGAGACTTACTCTGTATCCTTTCCCAACTTTTGTTTTATAATATATGGACAATGGCTTTGAAGAAAACAGGTTCTGAAACTCCAAGCAAAAAAAGAACTTCCTCTTCCAGGCACTGGCAATCTCCTCCAATTGTGGTTATCTTCAAGGACATGGAAAGTTTCACAACGAAAGTACTTCAGGACTTCATAGTTATCAGCAGGTAATGTGCCCTGAGGTTTTGGACTGGTGCTCTTTTACTCTCTTCCACTTTTTCTAGTTGTTGCCATAAAATTAAAGGCTGGAGCTCAGGTGTCACTTTTTTGCTTGAGGTAGTAACCTGCCCACTTTGCCGTGAGAATGCAGGCCAAATCACTTAAGTGCTGATTTGGCCTGCATTCTCCAGCGTTTCTCCCCATATGCCCAGAAGGACAGAGAGGTTCTCCATAATTCACTGGAAAAGAATTGTAGAGTGACTCAGCTACCTGCAGCACAAAGAACCCTTAGATATGCCCCCAGAAGTCCTAGCGACACTGGTGGTTGAGGGGGTGCTGCAGCAGTAAGGACATAGTAACTCGAGTACAGCTTCTCAATGCAGCTGCCGAGATCCAGGCTAGGCTAAACAGGGTTCTCAGACTTCATTGTTGATCACCCAAGCTAACTCTGGAGTGACAACATACCCCTTTTTGATTGTAAAATCCTGGGACACGCAGTATCCCTTTACAAGGGCATGAAGAGGATTGAAAACTGAATCAGAAATTTGGAGAATCGCAATAGTGGTGCAGGTGAGCAGGCCGTGGAAAACAAGCACTGTTGGCAGTAGAAGTGATGAACTGTTAGAATATTACCTAATTTCCGGTGTTCTGAAGTCTTAAAGGGGTGGTTATTGTCATGGTGCCTGTCTAATGGGGAATAGCTGAGGTCACATATTTAAAGTTCAGTGGGAGGGTTCCAGCAGCAGATAAGTTCGGATGTTTGTGGTTTGCTAGAGCAGTGGCTCTCAACCTTTCTAGACTACTGTACCCTTTCAGGAGTCTGATTTGTCTTGCATACCCCAAGTTTCACTTCATTTAAAACCTACTTGCTTATAAAATCAGACATAAAGATACAAAAGTGTCACAGCACACTGTTCGTGAAAAAATCTTACTTTCTCATTTTTACCATATAACTGTATAATAAATCAATTGAAATATAAATATTGTACTTACATTTCAGTGTATAGTGTGTTTATATAAAGCAGTATAAACAAGTCATTGCCTGTATGAAATTTTAGTTTGTACTGACTTTGCTAGTGCTTTTTATGTAGCTTGTTGTAAAACTAGGCAAATATCTAGATGAGTTGATGTACCCCTTAGAAGACCTCTGCGTAGAAGAAGCCTAGTGTCGGTGCAATCACTGTACAATTAAAAGTTGTCTTCCTTAAAATCAGGTACTGTACTGCTGGACTAGAAGTCAGTCAGTGTTGTGCCTTATCTTTTAAAGAAAGTGCTGGGGATGTCCCTGGAAATTAGACAGATGCACTTTACTTTGTTATTACAAACTAATTTGCCTGTTACTAAAGATGGAGTTAAAAGCAGTACATTTAAAACTGCTAAAAATACATGAATTACATCACAAAAATTTAACTGTGGAACTCTTTGTCACAATATGTTGTTGAGGCAGAGCCTAGTTAGATTTTAAAAAGAGGTGTGTGTAATAAATATAATATATGAATAATAACAATCACAGATATGCTAGGATAAAAAAATAAGATGAAGTCCTGGCCCCAGTGAAGTCAAGGGAGAAAGGATTTCACCCACAGAAGGAATATAAACTCTTTAAGACATATACTAAGCCAAACAGAAAACTCTCTAGGAGACAGAATTAACTTCTCTCCTAGGAATGCTAATTTTTTTGTAAATATGCAGGGTTGTAGCCGTGTTGGTCCCAGGATATTAGAGAGACAAGGTAGGTGAGGTAGAATCTTTTATTGGATGAACTTCTGACAAGCTTTTGAGCTACACAGAGCTCTTTTTCACTCTGAGTATCTTTCTGAGACCTGAAGAATAGCTGTGTAGCTTGAAAGTTTCTCTCTCTCCAACAGAGGTTGGTCGAATAAAAGATACTATCTCACTCAGCTTGTCTTTCTAATTTGTGTAAATGTCAATTATGGATCACTTTATCCCCCGTCTTCTGAAGGATTTGTTATTGGTTGCTATCAGAGATAAGATTAGTGAACATAGGAACTTTGGTCAGATCTGATACGGCAATTTGGAATTCAGATGAATAATGTTTCTGGTTCCTCTCAGGATGTTAATGTGGGTGGAAGGTTACAATTGTTTGAATTGCCATACTTTCAGAAAGTTGGGTTTCTTTTAAGTTTAATTCTAAATGTCTTGCTTTATTTTATTTTTTTAAGCAAACTACAATACTTTTTAAAGTCTTGGGGTTCTTGTTTGTTTGTATTGTCCTAGATACTGTAGAATCTCAAAAAACAGGCCTTGATCTATGATTGGGGCCCTTAGGTCCTACTGCAATTCAAAGAGTAAATAATAATTTCATTTACCCTTTAATGATTTTTATCCATGTGAGCCTTCCAACACTATTTATTAATACAAATAATTTCAAGGCATATTTAGAAGACTATATTTTGGAATTTTTCAGCTAGGTAAAACTAGCAAAGGGGAACCTTTCCTGTACTGTAACACTAAAGGCAGAAGTTTTACAAGCATATTCCTGAAGATTGGGTCCTCAGGGTACAGTTTGATTTGTTTTTTTCTTGGTAGTGCCGTATTGGGAATATACTGTGTTGCCTTGTGGTTGTGTTTTCATACAGTGCTGGGGAAACCCACATAACTGTTATGTTTTCTTTTTCCTTTCCCACTTTGTGATCTAGTCAGCACATACATGAATTCCCTCTTGTACTCATTTTTGGAATTGCCACGTCTCCAATGATCATCCACAGGTTACTTCCTCACTCTGTTTCTTCTCTGCTGTGTATAGAGCTTTTTCAGTCTCTTTCTTGCAAGGAGCACCTGGCTACAGTAATTGACAAGGTAATTCAATTTCTAGATAAATGAGGCGGGGAATGGATATGTATAAGTATGGTGTATGTATACATAGCATCTTATGCTTTAAAAGTAGACTAGTGTGAAGCTTTTAAAGTGGGATCTGTTCCTGAGAGCCATATGTTCTGAATATTCTCTCTGAAAACCGTGTCTTTAAGCTCACTTACATGTGTTGAGAGTTTCCTCTTCACACAGTGTTGGAGACCATTCAGAAATTATTCAGTACGTATCTTCACTTCTTGTTTGTATTAACATTCATGCACACACAACTATATGGTTTTCATTCACTCCCCTTTATTATCATGCTGCTTTGAAGTAAGATTGACTTCATTCTAAATAGAGATGGCTTCACATCGCTTATATTTACACTGAATATTGCAGCTTAATGTGAATTCTGCAGCCCCTTGAAAATGAGCAGAATTATCCAAATATAAGGTCCCATCATGTAGACACTTTGCTCGTGTGATTTCAGTGGAGTGCATTTGTAAAGTGCCAGCAGAACTATTGCATATGCTTGCAGAAAGTACTTTTGTCCCTGATGCCTGCTGTAATGTTTGTTCTCTCATTCATAATTTGAAAAATTATAGGTAAAATTAATGCCAAGTTTGAACATAACTAAAATCAGACAATATATAGTTCAGGATGTGGTGGAATCATAAGCTTTAAAGAAAAGTGTGTATGTTTTTGCAGCAATGGAAATAAATATGGCTTGGCTGAAGATGACTACATGCATTAATCAATTAATATAGTTCAATTTTAGCACATTCTGAGAATTAAACCAAACGCAGATCTAACTGCTTTGCTATTTACATATTCAAGAAGTAATGTTATAATAATTGGCTGTTGCTACTAGCAGTTACATTTACCTTGAAATGTAATCTATTCTGGTAACATTTAGCAAGGAAATCTTTTTTTTCCCTTTGTCTCCTGCAGCTACTTCTGACAACTGAGTTTCCCTTTAAACTAAGTGAGAAAGTGTTGCAAGTTCTAATCAACATATTTTTGTACCATGATTTCTCTGTCCAGAACTTCATCAAAGGATTTCAGGTAATCAGGAGTAAGAAGAATTTCAATTATAGCTAGGCAGTGGTGAAAATGCAATAGAATTACTCCATGGCAGCAGACTTGTACTCAATTTTTTAGGGCCTGATTTTAATCCCATTGAAGTCAGTGGCAAAATTCCCATTGAATATTATAGCTGAGATCGGGTGTCTAGATAGTGGGTTTTTTGTGAGTGTGTGGGGTGGGAGGGGGGATGGGAAAGCTCTTGGGAAGCTAGCAGGAATTGTGGGAAGGCAGTTTAGAAACAGCTTATTCTGTGGCACAAGTCATATGAATAAAAAATTAGAAACAAAAACCTGAAAGGGTAGAAACAAATTTTCTGTGTATTAATTTTATAGGTATTCTTTGATGTCTTTCAATTTTGCATGCTAATACTAAAAAATCTTCAGTCATGTGAAGAATTTTGTGATAGGAAAAGGTTTTCCATCTCAATATACCTGCCCAGTTTTTGTACTACTTTTTTTTTTTCCAGAATGACTGTGGTGCAGTCTTAAAAAAAATTACATTGAGTCAGAAGTATGTTTTCTACTACACTGTAAGGTCCTAGACCTGCAAACACTTACGCACTTGAAATCAGTGGAACAACTCAAAGTAGCATGGTTAAGCACATGTGTAAATGTTTACAGGATCAGGGCCTAACAGTATGATTTCAGATATGTGAAATGTGGGATCTTGTCATGTTCCATTGTTTCATTTAATGCATTCTAGCTGATGTTTGTACCTTAAATGATACACTCTTTACTTGCTGCTTTGGCATTTGTGAGGTTGGGCCTGGTCACATAACCCAACAAATTATGTAATACCTAATGTAATTGCTGAATTTTGCTATTATTCAAATAATAAATTAATCAAGTAATAATTGAGCTGCTATAGATCTCGTATAAAACAAAAAGCAATTGACTGAATGATATGAGCAGAAGAAAATTGCAAAATGAGGTTGCCTGTGTTATTCATTGAATAATAATCAAGCACCTCTAGTGGCAGTTGAAAGTAGAAGATTATTAATGTCATCTGATGTGTTGACTGAGTAGACTCTCTAATACAATTTTTAAATAAATGTCATTACTGTCATTTTAGCAATTGTTAATAAATTGCTTAACTTATTTAAAAGCTAGGACACCTCAAGGAAAGTGAACTGCATAGGTATTACAGGTTTTTACTGCATTGTCTCTTTCAGCTGTCTATTGTGGAGCATTTCTATTCCCAGCCCCTCAGTGTGTTGTGCTGCGAGCTCCTGGAAGCTAAGAAGAGAGTATATTCTTTATCACACGATCAGTGTGAAAACATTCGAAGCCTGCCATCTTTTAGAAGGTAAAGGAGAAATAAATATTTTGAACAGTCCTATATTCAATCAGCATTTTTTTTAAAGAAAAACTTGTAAATAGAGCATTGTGAAATGTGTAATTATATGTGCGTATGTTACATAAAACAGGGACAGTTGTGAATTACTTCTGAAATTTTTTAATCTCTGTCTAAAGAATGCAACTTTTATTTTGTGTAAAATAACCTGCTGTAAAATCCGTCAATTGAAAGATCCATTTTTTCCTTTTGTCCTTCGTGTAGAAACATTTTCTTTTGACAAATGATCTAATCAGTTGAGAAGTTATGGCAGACCCGGGACTTAAACTGCAGGATTTTGTAGTGGCCACAGACCCAACAGAATGCTGACGGCCACCATTTTTAGAACTATGTATTGTGTAACTTTATATTGCACAAATATTTTTGTTTGGTTTTTACTTCAGATATGTGGAAAGTCAAGTCTCGGAAAAACAAATTGCACTTCTGACTGAGGACAGTTTTTTAAAGGTAAAGTGTAAAATCATTTGCGGGATAGGAACAACCTTCCAACCCCCCCATCATTTTGCATGAAAAGAGAGGAAACTAGGGTAGAATGCATCTTTCATTTGTTAGATATCCCAAAATATGTCTAATGATTTGAGAGCTGGGCTTTAGGTCTACATGATAGTCCCAATTCTACTCTGTGGGGTATTGGGTACGTCACTCAGCCTTTCGGTGCATTGAGTTTACCATCTGTAAAATGGATAAAATAATTACCAGGGAGATTGTGAAGCTCAATTATTTAGGACCCACTCTTATTACTTATTCAGGCAAAAAAACCCATGAAATTCAATGGAGTGTTTGCCAGAACAAGAGATGAATAATTAATCCTGATTGTTGCTTTTGAAAGAGTCCCTTCTGAAAAGAGATTGAAAAGGCTGTTACTGTTTAGTTTAGAGAGGGGATGGATTAGAGGGATCATGACAGAGAGAAACAAAATAACCAATGGTTTGAGCACATAAATCATGCGCTCCTATTTATCCTTTCCCATAACACAAGAGCAGGGGGACAGTCAATTCAATTATAAGCAATACATTTAAAATTGATAAAAGGAAATACTTCTTTACGGAACACATAACTAACCTATGAAAATTACTGCCACAAATATAACTGGAAAACGGTTTAGATGTTTGAATAGTTCATGAAAACATCCACATTATATTAGATAGGATTATAAAAATAGAGAGAGGAACTCTCTCCGGCTTTGGAGCTACTAACTACACAGTTAATAAATTTCTTCTATGGTAAGGTTATCCACTCTGGAGTTTCTTGCATCTTCCTTTGAAAGATCAGGTACCAGCCATTGTCAGAGACAAGATACTGGATTAGATGGACCATTGGTTTAATTCATTATGGCCATTATCTAAGTTTCCAAGTTGCCTGCTTGAAAGTTGAGGAGTATCTCTGCAGTTTCATATAGACCTCCCTGGATTTTTAAAATCTGGACTTTATTATGAGTCACTTTTCCTGAAAATTTGATGTGTGACAGATAATAGAAATCTGCTAACCAGAGAATGGGATGGCTTTCACAGAGCCAAAAGATGCATATCTTTTTCTTTTGTATTCTGAATGCAGTCATGGAATACAGAATTGGAATTAGCTAGTCAGCAGTCTCTTAAGGAGAAATTCTTAAAGCGGACAGAGTGAACCTATTTATTTATAATGATTTCACATTTTATTGTGATCTGTTGTATTAGTATTTCTGCAGTGGAATAAGAGAGGAAGTTTTCTTGGTAAACAAACCAAGAGGTAGCAGATCACAAGCCCATTGCTGTGAAACATGGCAACTCGTGCAATACTTCCAAGGAAGTGATATCCATTTGACAACAATCCATATTCTAGCAGCCATGAAATGCCAAGCAGAAGTCCTTGGAATGATAAAGATCTGCCTTCATGAGTGGGAATTGAAACAACCAGTCTCAGAGATGAAACATCTGATCAATCACAGATCTGTTTGCCACCACGTATAATTCCATGCTAGAAAGTTTCTGACAAGCAATCCTTCAGAAGTCAGGAAGATGTTGTTCTGATTGATGTCTCTCTGTACTACTGATCCTAAGATCTCAAACTAAAACAGTTTGGAAAACAGATAGCTTCTATAATCCCACACTGACCTAGAAGATAGTGAATTGTTACAGTTAAATTCATCTTGCCAATAACTCTTCTCCCTCCTCCCCCAGTAAAATAACCAACCATTACTGCAATAACGTCTTCTGCAGATGGGCTGCTGCTGAGAGGAGGAATCTAAACATATAAATTCTCTGACAGAGTATTACTTACTCTGCAGTCAGGATCTATAAAGTCAGTGTGTAGCCAAGTGAATGATATTTCTTTCTACAATTCACAGAGGAGTTAAAAACAGTAAATCCCCCTATGCTTTCTAGCTGACAGAACTTTCTATTCTGCCCTTCAGATAAGGTTTATTATATTTTGCTTATGTCCCATTTGAGCATTCTACAAATAGATTGAAAAGTATAAGACAAAGGAAGCATCAATTTTAATATTGAATGTCCAAAAAGACTTAAACTGAGTTTCATCATAAACACCATTTCACTATCTTGGGATTTAAGACTCTTTCACAGATCAAAAACCCCCTTCATGTCCACAATGATTTAAGTTCATCTTTCTCTCCTTAAAAACAGGATTCATAATAACTATAACCTCTGCTAGAAGGTTGGGGAGCTGCAACCAATAACACTGACTCATCAATAATTTTCCCACTGTTTCCTCATCTTACAAAACATATAGCTTGCATAAAACTAGTCCCAACTTTCTTCATTTGGGAAGTATCTTATTTTATTTAAAGATTGAAATGCAATTACACTAAATAGTTTTTTGTGGGAGTTTTATTTTTAAATTCTGGCATAAGTGAAGGATATGATCTCATACTAGACAATCCTTCCAGAATGGAGTGGAATGAAACTATTTTGTTTTAAGGCATCTGCTAAGGAAATGCCAGCTTCCTCATCTGTGTACTAAGAAAATAGCCATCCAAATCACAGTAGTGCAAATGTTTAATCTCAGTCTAGTCATTGCCTCACTTGCTCTGTTTCCTTAATAGCAGAAAGGATATTATGAACTTATTGTCCATCAAATAAAAAAAAACTGTCATGTGTCAGATGGAAAGGATTTGGCTTTAGGTCCATCAGCCACAAGGCACTGCTTATTAAAGTTATAGCAATGCCAAGGAGCTATGTGGCACTAGGGAAAAAAATCAGAGCTACTTTTGGATGTTCTTTCATCTACAATATTGATTTCTCTTACCCAAATATGTAACTTTGGTATGAAGAAAAGAACCCAAGACCAAAGTCATTTTTGAAAGTTTGAATGAAAACAGAACAGTTTATTTTAGCATTGTGCTTTTCAAAATCACCCCACATTGTTTCAGTGGTGTTTGTGGCTCTAAACCCTGTGACATACTTTGGAATTGAATCAAATCTTTTCCAGTACCCAGAGATGTTTGAATCAATGGTATTTAATTCATACTCCATTTCTGTTTTTTGCATTCGTATTTCTAGTTTAGACTCCCAGCTTCAGTGTTAAATTGCTTAGTCTTAGGAAAATAACACTATTAATAGTTGTTATAACAGAATAACCCCACCCCCCCGCCCCTCAAAAAAGCATTAGCAAAGCCTTTATTTATCAAGCGGAACTCTGACACTATTATCTAGGGTCAGATTTTGGCATCCTTACACCAAAATCTTGAGGAGTAAGGTTCATCGCACTGTGAGTAAGGGTGGCAGAAACTGGCCAGTAGTCATTAAATCCATTCAGATTATGTGTGAGTATCCTTATCATATGCACCTGATATTTCATTTGGCAATGTTTATTTTACCCAAAAATGCATTTCCTTTGTATTTATCATTCAGAACAGAATTAATTTGTGATTGAATTAATGAAATGCTTTCCCATCTCTGAAGAAATGTGCTATTTATGCGGTGGCGTGGGGATTATATGCCAATTTCTGTAAACTCAGAGCAGAACTTTGAAAATATCATCTTAATTTTTCTGAGGTTTTCTATTGGGCATTTTGTTAGCCATCTGCACTAATCAGTTTCACAGCCTGCATATCTGATAACCAAGAGAGAGATCTCTTATATGTTCAACAAAATACAAGGGCACACATGTATGGAATAAGTCTGCTTTTAATAAGTCTGCTTTTAGCCATCCAAAAAAAGAACCTTGACCTAGCTTTACTTAGACCCTAATATAAAAGGAACCAAGTAGATGATGAGAGACTAGTTATAGGTTTACACTGTGGTTGAGATCCTCAGCCCTGCTGTGGTTCTTTTATTCCAGGTAAAAGGGCCAAAGCAGCATAAAAGGGACCCTAAAAGTTCTGTATGTAGCCAGGGAAGGATTCCTCTGACTCGGGCACTTCATAAGATTTCCATGAGGCTGCCTTCCAAAGACTCCCTTGCAAGCTCTAGCACAGGGAATGTGCTGGGGGCAGGATGGGCATATTAGGGACAATGTTGCAATGCACAGCACTGTGGGGATTCGAGGCTGTGCTGTGGCCCACCCTTAGGGCAACCTGGGGAAAATGCATAATTTAGACAGACACCAAGGGCTATCTAAGGTACACTCTGGGCCTTCCCATCCCTGAGAGCAACCCAGGATAAGGAGGGCAGAAAGATGGCTTAAAGCTACCGTAGTCCCGTCTGCCCTAGACTTGGGAGGTTTAGCACAGAATCTCACCCTATATGCAGAAACAGAACTATGACCTTTTTGTTCATTCACAACTGATGTACTTCCAGACTCAGTGTGTTATAAATCCAAGTGCTGCATAAGTTATCTATATTATTTTCAGTCTTTACAATGGAGCGAATGCTGTTATTTACATTTTTTTCAAATATAAGTACACTGGACCCTTGCTAGAACACAGGATTTGGGATCCATGTGCTGTACCACATTAACGCAGGGACCACGTTAAAATGAATTCCAGTTAAAGTAATTAAATTTGGGATCCATGGCCACGACCGCGTTATATGCGAATTTGCACTATATAGACGTGCATTCTAGCGAGGGTCCAGTGTACTTCGTTTTTGTTGTGCAGAAAAGCTTTTGCCTTAATTACTGTTACTTTCAGTTGATCTAGCAAGTTCAGGGAGAATATGTATTTTTTCACCTGGACTACTTAATTCAAAGTTGAGAAACTGTTTAAGAGTTGAAAAGCAGAAAAGCTTATTTACCTCTTCCAGTCTATGAATAAAAATCAGCTGGTGAGGATGAGATCTACTAATTCTAAAAACTTGAAGGACATAAGATAGATTTTCAAAGGTATTTAGGCACCTACAAATGCAGAGGTACCTAATGGGATTTTCAAAAGTGCTTAAGTAGGTCCAGTGCCTACCTCTCATTGATTTCAGTGGAAATTAGGCATGTAAACTGCTCAGGCACTTTGGAACATCTCTTTGTCTCTAAATACCTTTTTCTGGTCACCATGAGCCAGGTTTTCAATCTGTCAAGTCATTAACTACATTTAATATTTCCTTTGTTTTAATAAATCAGTTTTAAATTAAACTGCTGTTTTTTATTCATTTTTAATTGCATTCCAATTTCTGTCCAAATGCAACTTGACACAAAGCATGAGTAAGACATTATCATCTAGTAAATAGGAAATACATCATTCATCATTTTCTAACATAATAAAAATCTGAAAAATTAAGAATCTAAATAAATGTATTTTGAGCCATATAATTGCTTAAACAAATGTGTATAGATACAGTTTGTCCTGCTGATCAGCAAAAAGAAATACCAAATCGAGTATAAAGACCATATTTAGTTTCAAACCAATGTTTTAATGATTATATCAACCAATGAAAATAAATCTTTCTTTAGGAAAATAACTAAAAAGGTACAAATGTGAAACAAGATTGAAATCAATTATTTAAATCAAGATTTCCTGCTTGCTGATTTAAATCATGATTAAAATCACTTTAATGTAAAACAGTCTTTCCTAGTTTGTGAGAACTTTAGTATTCCCTTAAAATATTTTATTTATGTGTTTTAAAAGACATTTTGTGATTATTTCATACTGCTTTGTTCTCGTGGATATTGAACTACTTTGTTAAATTGTTATTCTGTCATTTTAGGAAGTAACACAGGAATTACTGGAAGACTTGCATATTTACCATGAGAATTATTTCCCAGTTCTGAGATGTCTTCATGTTTTCACAACTTCCCTTCCAAAGTACCCTTTGGGAAAACAGGTGAAGTACCATCATTCCCTGGACCTCTCTTGTTTCATGGTTGACATCTTTACAAATTTCAAGTCCACTCCCTCTTTTCCCTTCATACCCTTCACACATACAGTCAGATATTTTTTGTCTTTATTATGGAGTGGGGGAACAGCACATCGTTTCTTTAACAATGCCTGTCATACTCTGTTGTGAGTAAACAGCAGAGGGCTTGTAGGGAGAAGCAAATGCACAGAACAGCCAGTGCCTCTGTGTTGTGTTTGGCTTTTATGCATCTGGATTTCTCATATGCAGTACAGACAATTTTCCATTCCTCCTATCATCAATCAAGTAGTTGCCTAATGGTTGGATTCAGATGAGAATTGACATCCTTTTGGCAGGAACAACATAGCAGTGATGGGACAGCCATGGATATTCTTAGTTGTTAGTTGTATATTGACTTGTGTTAGAGCTCTTGTGTGACCAAACTCAACTTCTCATACCAAGCAGTTATTTTTGCCCCACATTCTCCTATTAATGCTGCAGAACATTCCATGATGTGCATTTCCCCATTGATTCTAGATGTATCAGATACACTGTTACTAGATGTGGATCTTAGCTGTGAATTCACTCTGAACTTTCTTAATGTTTGGATCAAAGGTTTTGATTCAGGTTCACTTCTAATCCCTGCATTCCCGTCACCTGAATGGACCCTGTTAAAACATAGTGCTGAGCGGCAAGCATATTTTTGCCACAGTGAGGGCCTAGTCCCAAGAGATGCTGAATGCCTTCACCTCGAATTGCAGTCAGTGAGAGTTGAGAGCACTCAGCTCCTCACAGGCTCACTCTTTGAATGAGTCAGTCATTGTTTTGAAAAGTGAATGTAAAACCAACCCATTACTTGTTTTGTAAAACATTGTATTCCCGTTACTCATGTACTGGTTTACAGATCAGAGAGCTGCACTGTGCATGTTTGGGAAAGAGAGTGTGGGAAACAGATGAATATGGGTCAGCTGTTCAGTTACTGAGGTAATCTTTCTCCTTTCCATTTTCTTGTTTTGTTTTAGACATGTAGAATATCTTCCATCTGTTTCTCTAGAATTTTACATTTAGAATGCTGCCGGACAAGAAGTTTTGCAATGGACTACATTACTGATTGATTGAAAATATAATTGGCTATCATTTTAAATTTGCATGCCTGTTCTTTTCAGTGGAACTCCCAGAAGCTATTTGAGGCTAGATTCTGATATCTTTCCCTCATGGTGATTACTCATTAGGTAGTCCTATTGAAATCATTGAGACTACTCAACGTGAATGAGAGTATCAGAATCTGCCCTTTGGTAATTTCTTTGGCATATTTATTTAAATGATGGTGTTTTTTTTTTTAATGTATTATATCTTCATAATTTGATTAATAGAATTGTTGCACTTTTTTGTGATACTCTTTTGTTAACAGTCAAGAATCATTATCAGTGGTGTTTACAGTGATATTGTAGCCATGTTGGTCCCAGAATATTAGAGAGAAAAGGTGGGTGAGGTAATATCTTTTATTGTACCAACTTCTGTTGGTGAAAAGTGTTTGAGCTACGCCACCCCTCTGCCAGTTCAAGTCAGCAGCCAGGTTCAATATCTGGGGATTCCTCTAAATACTACAGAACAGAACTGGTTCTAGCCCCCACCCAATAATCTGGAAAAATGGAACACCACCACTGGGCATCTCTATGAGACAGTACTTCCACACTGTCAATCACCGAGCCTGTGTATAGCAAAAAAAAAAATTCTTATTCAACGGGAAAATTCTTATTCCAGCATTAATTTGGGAAAACACTTCAACCATGATTCAAAAGCATGTAACCGGAAGCAAACACCCACCCCACGGTACATTGGGCAGCATCATTTGCCTCAGTATCCCCCCATGAAAGTCCAATGAACGAATGGGTCTTTAACATGCCACTCCCATTTACCTCCGCTGCACCCCACTCACAATGGTTGTGCTTGGTCACTGAAGACACAGAGTTCAGAGGTGGTTTCACATGGGTTCACTTCCCATCCCTGAAAGGATGCCTCTGCTGTTGCCTGTACACCTGTCTCGCTGTTGCCGAGTCCCCCTGAACAGGACTGGGATCCTGTGGGGTCCCGCAGGGCCCACTGCCATATAATAATGGGAGCGTGACAGGAGTCGGATTAAAAATAGTCCCGCGCAGGGCTCTAGCTGTCACCTCTGCCACTGTTACCACTGCTGCTGCTTGCTGTCACTTCTGTTATGTTCTGAGACTAAATCATTTAGCCCTGCTCTTAGTGATTTCACTGGGTAAAGGGAAACCTGAAGAATTCTCTAGCTTGAAAGCTAGTTTCTCTCACAACAGAAGTTGGTACAATAAAAGATATTACTTCATCCACCTTGTCTCTCAGTGTTGGCAAGCCAAGTGCTCTGAAAGTTGCAATAATGTGTTCCAAGTGACCTGCTTACAGCTTTATTATTTTTCTTTATAGAATGCTTCACAGATTTGCATTTCATCCTCAGGATGGCCCCTACATAATATTTTCTTTAGCATTTTAATTTCAGTAAAGGTTCCACCAAATCAAGCTTTCCTGTTGACTAGCAGTGTTTAAAATAGAAACAACATCAAAGCCAATTTTTGAAAAGATATGACATGGTTGCCACCTTAAAGTTACAAACATTTGTGCAAATGTTCTTTATGATGGCAGGTGATCAGGTGCAAATATCATGAAATGCTCAGACAATAGGATTTCATGTTGTTGCTGGCACACAAAAAAGGAGCAGATAAGCACAGAGTTGGGGTATTTCCACTTATGGGATTTGGCACCTCTGACGTGGAGCTGTGAAACTGCATAGAAAAGCCATGTATTTTGAGGGGTGCAAGAGTTCTCTCCCACTAGGATGATGTCCTTCTCTCTATACATTGGAGTGACACAGTTCCTTTGCTGCCACTGCAGAGATCTGAATGGAATTTTCTCATGTCCACAAGCTAGTTAGCTTTTTACTATTAGTTACTATAGGGATCAGAGTATTGGCGGTCATGCCTTGTAGTCAGTCAGGAGAGAGGAAGTGGAGCCAGTGGTTGCAGCTTGAGACAGAGTCCAAAGTCAAGTGAAGGGTTGAAGTCAGAATCAGACTTAGGATGAGCCAGGGGCCAACCTGGAGTTGGAGTAAGGAGTTAAACTAGGCGGCAAAGCCGTCATTGGGTAGGGTGGAGGAGCAGGGACTTGGAACAAGAAAAGTGGGAACTAGGAACAGAGGCAGATCTGGGATAGGGTGGACAGGAGCAGGCAGAAGTACAGGGCACAGGAGTCAAGCAAGAAGGCAGGGTCTGAAGTGGCAGGCGGAGATTTATTTAGTTGCTTGGACAACGACTTGTGCCTTCTTCTGACTTAAGTAGTGCAACTGAGCCAATTGGTGGGGCCAGATGACTCACCCAATCAGGAACTTCAAGGGCAGAACCTTTGATGAGCTCGAGCTCCTTTAGCCCCCTTTTCCACTGGTTCCAGTGAGCTGCTGGATGGTGGCCCAAGGGTGAGACCTGCCATCCCTCATAGTTACTTTGTTACAGTTCTATAGTATAGTTAGAGTATCTGGAGCCACTTGCCTTGGGTTATGTCTGAGCTGTGCTGGGGTCCCAAACTTCAGAAAGGCTTCAGCCATCTTTCCTGAGATGAGATGCACACATTTTGTGTGTAGTATGCCTGGGAGAGGCTCATATAGCGCGTCTCAGTGTACTATTTGCCATTTCTTCACCCCTCGGTGAAGACTTAATTTAAGACTGCAGATTTAAGACTGCAGCTTTAAGACTGCAGCTGCATTTGGCTACCTTAAACCTTCAACTGGACTGTTCTAAAACTCCTTTTGGAGTTGTGAGGTCTGTCTCTGTGCTGAGATCTTCTGTGAAGTGTCCTGAAACACACCTTTCCACCCTTAATTTCGGCCCCCAGCTCCATCAAAACAGACTACTCTAGCAACACCGTTACGTCCACACGGCTGTTGGCACCAAAAACTCACACAGCACCATTAGAGTTGACACCAGTTGGTTCCAAGAGTGAGAGAAGTGCTTCCAGATCTCATTGTAACCTGTTCTGGGCAAGTGAAAGGAAAAGAGGAAGCATTCTGATTCACAAAAGGAGCCTGAGGAAAAAAAAGGAGGTGGTATTGCTTTCCTCCTCCTCTGTTGCTTGTCACCTCCTTAAGTCTCATCACTGCACTTGGCACACACGTCTCCTCAACTTGAGGTTCTGTACTTGAGTGATTTAGTCATCTCAGCGGTGCACATATCTCTAACGCAGTTGATTTCCCTTCTCATGACTGAGGAACCTCTTTCAAAGCTTTTGGCTTGTCTCTGCTGCTTGACTATGCAGAAATATTTGTCATTGGTGTAGATCCAGAACGTCCTTCAGGAGCATGGGATTCCCTGGAAACTGACACACAAGCTCTTACAATTTGCTCCAGAGAGCCTTAGCTATCTTCCCTTGCTGAAAGTTCCATTTCCCTGGAAAGATGCCAGGTACCCTGTTAATGTGGCTGTGCCTTCAGGACTCAGTGAAGGCTTTGCTCAGTGCTATCAAAACCAACATGGCACCTATTTCAACACTGGTAATGCTGACACCAGCACCTCCATTGGTGCCAAGAGCTTTCCCAGCACTGGTCTTCTCAAGCACCATTGCCTTCAAGTAGACCCATGTTTCAATAAGCACAGATCTGACCAGCGCCATCCGTGCTGGCACGAGCAACATTGCCTCCTCAGAGAGTGGCATGTGTATGATGACTGGGAGGAGAGTCCTTCAGAGCAAGTGCAGCAGTCACCAGTCAAAGAATATACTGATGGTATGTCCTTTAAGGATCGAATTGGAACTTCATTTGTCTCCCCTGTAAATGAATAGAAGCAATTTCAGGAGCTGGTAGGGAGGATGGCTGTGTATATAAATCTCCCCACTGTATTTTCCACTGCATGCATCCAATGAAGTGAGCTGTAGCTCATGAAAGCTTATGCTCAAATAAATTTGTTAGTCTCTAAGGTGCCACAAGTCCTCCTTTTTCTTTTTGCTAATACCCTGCAGTTACAGATAGGAGTTTTGGCACCAGACACATCTGATCCTCTTTGTAATATCCTGGAATGGCAGACAAAATCACACTTCCTGTTCTTCAAGGACTACTCAGTCCAGCAAAGGACATTTGGTGCTCTCCTGTGTCCTCACCACCAGTATATTTGGGGGGGACAGTCGGAGGCATGCTATTTTTTTTTTTTTTTTAATGAATTGTTACAACATTCCTTGGCTGATTTCTATGTCAGTGTCTGCAGCCCAGGAATTATTTAAAAGTAACAGGGCATACTTGTGTGATCCCTTGGATAGAAAAGGGAGTAGACTGGATACTATTGTAGAAAAGGTTTATTCTTCTATTTCCATGGGTTTCCGTGTGGCAAATTATCAAGCTGTCGTGCCCCGATATAAGTATGTGTTGTGGCTTTCCGTTAACACTATACTAGCCACCTTGGACGAAGGAATCTGCTAAGACCTATGAAATCTGTTGCTTAACCAATAGGTCAAGTGATGTTAAAGTTTCCAATGAACATTACATCATTTGACAGGGTTCAGTTGCTTTGAGATAGGCCACAGTGTTACAGTTAGTTTGGGAGCGAGGATGCCAGCGTATGTGAGAAGAGACGCACACACTTAGGGAGATCTTCTGAATTTGTGATAGTTTTATTAGCACAATCAGCAATATCACAAACACTACAATGTAGCAAAATAGACAGGGATAATACAAGCATCAAAACTTGCATACCCACATCATCATCATCTGCTGGGGATCCCCATAGAAGTTAGAATGATCCATGAGAGGTTCTTGGCCGACAAGTTCTAAGAAATCACCCAGGATCACCCATGGATGAGTGCCAGTTTTTATCAGAGGTTATGGTGATGCTTCCTATGTCCAGTGCATATTCAGTAGGGATTTCAGCCTCTTTATCTGTATTTCCTCACCCTACTAATGTTGTGATGCCCTTCTCCTGTAGGTT